TCCCTATTTTATCCCTTTGGGGGTAGAATTGATCAAAATCCTTTCTTAGCGGATGCCTACGTCATAACATCTATCTGCGTGCCAAATTTCAGCCCGATCCGTCCAGTGGTTTGGGCTGTGCGTTGATAGATCACTATGTCAGTCAGTCACCTTTGAGTTTTATATATATATAGATACTAGCTGACTCGGCGAACTTCGTACCGCCCAAAAGTAATAATTTTCAATAAATTAAAATTGCGACTATAATTTGAGATTTAAACTATCCTATCTCTCAAGTTGGATCGAACTGCACATGGTGTGCGAATTTTATTATAATCGGTTAAGTGGTTTAGGAGTCCATTGAGGACAAACATTGTGACACGAGATTTATATATATTAAGATATGATATCTATGTTGATAAAGTGAAACATTTATTACATCTCCACAGATTATCATGTTGCGTTATGAAATAAAAAAGCTAAACGATAGTGGCGATGCCATACCGTTACAGTGGTAGAAAGCTGGCCTAACACGCGGGCGGGGCGGGTTCGGTTCCCAGCCGAGAAAAGGCCTTTTTTATTTTCAGTTCGTCTGCAACGGGCCTATAACCTCGACTGACCACTTAATTTTTATAGCACTTTTTATAAGCCCGAGTAACATCAATTTCGAATAATTTTCTGAAAACTGCAGTAAAATGCCTACAATCCGCAAAATATTTGAGACGATGTAAAACACTTTATAAGTTTCACTTGCATCGTGATTTTATTTTTCAAATACAGTGATTTGGTAGACGGAGAAATGTGGGGCTTTCCTGCCGTTATATTAACCCAGAGAGCACCGACAGGCTATTCGGTGTACCGTATGTTTATTAGGACTTCGCTTATATAAAAACTAGTAATTCACCATAGCACCATTGCCTTCATCCAATCACAAATTTTCAGTTAATTTGATGGGGTTTGTAATTAGGGTTGCCACCTTTTTTAAGTCCAAATAAAGTACATTGGATATGAAAGGTAGAAAAAAAAGTACATTGTGTCCAAAATAAAGTACATTTTAATCCACTTTATTAGTAAGCTTAAAATATATTTTACGGTGCTTATAGCAATATTTAATAAATAATTTGTGGCTACTAAAAATCTGTAGTTCTTATCCGCAATGGGAAAGACCATTGTACAAAGCCATACAGCCGCGACAATGTTGCAGGAATGGGCTAAGGGCGACATATTATACATACTGTTGTTCCGTTTTACGCAAAAAATCTTCCTATCCTCTTTATTTATATTATATGTAAAATTAATTCCCAAGTAATCAAATCACATTAAATAAAGTATTTTCGCGTACTTTATTGTTGGCATAAAGTATAGAGTAAAATTACCCGAAATGACGTACAATACTTTATAATAAAGTACGGGTGGCAACCCTATTTGTAATAGAAAATCGACGATTCTCGTTCATCTCGTCTATGGTAAAGATATTAGTTTTATTGTCATCAAAGGTAATCACATTTTTCTTATTGGAAGGCTAGTTGATACACCTTCTACAGCTGCCACGACATAGGGTTATTGCTTCTCCCCTATCTAGGGGACATCTTGCAAGTTCAATCACTTTTACATAATCAATGGGTGTGTTCCGTAATATAAACCAGTATACTGGCCAGTGCTAATGACGTCAAGAATCGACGCCATGCTGTTGATTCGTTCCAAAATTTCCAAATACACTGATCAGCGCGGTGACGTCATGAACTGGCGCAATATTCAAGCAGTCTCGTGTTTGTGTGCAACATTCATGCTCCAAAAATTATAATAAAGTGTGTAAATCTTGTTATTCCCTTCATCGATCAAAACTAATTTTTCTGTTGGTTGAGATTCCATTATTATCAATTTAATACAAAAAGACCTTCACTAACTGCAGAGCGTATACACCCAGCTATTATACGTCACAGTATTTTCACCAGCATAATATGGCGGTACACCAGTGCAATATGGCGTCGAAATGTTGACGTCATTACCGCTGGCCAGCGTACTGCCTTAAGTTTCGGAACACACCCAATATCGTTATGCATAGAATTTTGTTTGAATATGATCATTTCGCGTATTTTGACATACATTATATTTTTTGACATTTATTCCCTATTCAAGAAAATAAAGTTTACCTTCGCAAATTATCGCTATCAGGCGATCGGTGGGTCAGGCGAACAGTGTTGGAGTAAACGTGCCAAAATAAACGGGATGATAAGTGCGGTGTTGTCGAGGCTGCAGCGCTCTGGGTGGCAGGCTGTGATCCGCGCGGCAGGTGGCAGGTGCGCGCGCATCTGCCGCCCGCCTCCTGCCGCCCGCCTCATGCCGCGCATCGCGGTATATAGCGCCTGCAAAGCGCGCGCCGCCACACTCCGCCACTAACCCTCGGCCGAGAAACACGTCCTAACCTTTCCTACAACTGTGACAACTGAACCTCAACCTGTGCCTCCCTGTGAACTGTTCGTAGTGACGAGCTCTAGTGATACTGTGATAACAATATAGTGCTGTAAACATGATCATCTGCCTCTCTGGATTTGTGATTGCTGGGTTGGTTTCATATTTTTTGCATTTTATTTACGTTTTATTATGATAATTATTTTGTAATAGAGCCGCGTATTTCTTTCATTTACTGATTTTTATGGAAATTCTTGGTTTAATTCTTGTAGAATTAAATTATGAAGCTTTTTTAGAAACCTCAAAATTATCTCTATAATTTTTGTTAATAAATGTATTTTTAGCATTTTAAAAATGTTCATATTTAAAGAAAATATTACTATGTATGTACTTTTGACGTGACAACGTCTTAAATTAGGTTGCGGCTGGGAGTCACTTATGAAAAAGTGTAACGCTCGGTAACGTTACGATGAGTTTAAGTTTACATGTACAATGTTTTAGTAAACAAAATATATTTCTATAGTTAAAATTTGTGCAATTCTTATTTTCATTCAATTCCTTGTTCCTATTGTGCAATTTAATTATATTCATATCAATAAATATTCTACCGAGAAAAAGACGTTGTCACGTAAAATCTTCGCCCGTAAAACCGACTTTACAGGCAACCATTTTTTTTATTATAAATTCTTAAATTTCCTATGGACAATATATTGTCAAATTTATAAATTTAGTCTTCGAGTGAAGAATGTCGTTAGTTAGTAAGTAAAGTTGCGTGAGTTGTGTTGTTTTGCTATAGTGTTGCGCGCGCGCTACCGGTTCCTTTCCATATAGTTGAATGACTGCTGAGATCAGCTGGTCGACGGCGCGCCCGGGGCGCCGGTTTGTCTCGCAAAATATTTGCGTCGACGGTCGAGTCTTAACCACTATTATAAATATTTATTGGAGTTTACTCCTTAAGAATCGATTTGCATATATAAGGGGCCCGGTATGAGAAAAATGTGAGGAGTAAAATCTATCGATGAATGACCTGGTTACGTTTTTGGTGCGCATATAAGTGCGCATAAGTTAAATAAACTATTTTTGCGTCTGGGTAGACTATCGAACTTAAGGAGTAAACTCCAGGCGTGCGTCGGAGCTGACACACACAAATTTTTTTAATTACTGTTTGTGTTTAAATATATTTCATGTTCATTCTTGTGTACCATTGAAATTTAAATAAACAAAAATCCAAGTAGTGAAATTGTTTATGGAATCTTTTAGAAAGGCACTTAGAATAAAACAAAAAGGAAAGATAAGGCACTCGCGGCTCAAAAGTGATCCGTTTAAATTGTGGTGCATGACCACAATTAGCTTTCATTACAATTGGATATTCAAACAAGCTGCACGTGCACTAAATATAATAATATTGAGTATATTCTGTGTTATAAAGATTACATACAACGGAATGTGCCGTAAAATTTCATTACGCGCGCTCCCATACATGGCACCGTGCGTATTCTTTACGGGATTTTTTTAAATTCAATCGGTCCCCCTGGGAAGCTCTTTTAGTTTATACCTATGTTTCATTTTAGTACTGAAAAGAAAAAGTGGCGTGGCCATTTGGAAATGCGTGCCACTTTCATATCATTAAAGAATTTGCTTAATGAATATGAATGTAATTTAAGTAATGAAGTAATTTCTCAAAAATCATTATATATATATAATGATTTTTTGCAAATGTGTTAACGTTGTATGACATTGCTGCGGGTTGGTATTTACAAACTCTTGCTTGACGACCTCCGTGGCCGAGTGGTTTGTACGCCGGGTTTCATGGTGTCGCCGACTCGAGAGGTCCTGGGTTCGAATCCCGGTGGGGGCAGATGTTTGTGTGATGAACACGAGCATTTGTACTCCAGTCATGGATGTTTAATATGTATTTCTATATAAATATACTTATATATGTACAGTATATGTATTCTATCCGTTACCCTAGTATCCCATAACACAAGCCTTACAGTGAGTGCTTACTTTGGGGCTAGGCTAATTGGTGTGAGTGTTGGAAATATTTATTATTATTATTTTATTATGACTATGGTAAGCCGTCGACTTCGTCTGGGGCTTACATTCGTGAACTCGTTTCTAATAAACAATTTACTGCACTTGTATCATAAATAACTCTATTACAGAAGTGTGCGTGTGTGAAAGGTGCTTATGTAGTTGAGTCGGAGCATTTTTTATTTGATGCCATTATTTTCCTTTTTTGTTTTGATCTAAGGGTAATTGAGGAGTTCGATGGCGCAAGTGGTTAGCGCGTTCGGCTGCGATCGTTGAATTTAAGCAACTTTCGCAGTGGTCGGTCATTGGATGGGTGACCAAAAATTACTATCTCGAGCTCCTCCGTGCTTCGAAGGCACGTTAAGCCGTTGGTCCCGGCTGCATCTGCAGTCGTTAGCACCCACCAATCCGCACTGGGCCCGCGTGGTGGGTCATGGCCCAATCTCCCTATTCCATCCATAGGGAAGGCCTGTGCCCCAGCAGTGGGGACATTAATAGGCTGATGATGATGATGAAGGGTAATTTTTTTTTAATTTAAATTTTAAAAGCTAAAAATATTTTTTTTATTGTTACAGAGCTTCCCCCACATGCATTCCTGCCACCGCGCGTACTGATATTGTAAGTATTATTATATTTTATTACTTGCATAAGTAGCATTTTTTCAAATTTGAAACCTCATTACAGCGCCATCTATCAGGAAAAGTTTTTCAAATTCCTGTGCAAATTTCTTAATTATATTTTGTAATAAGCTTCTAACATTGTATAATGGCGGGATGCATTCGGTCGCTAGTCCGAATTCGGGGAAACGACTATTCGTTTTAGTTACCCGACACCGTCTTCCAGTGTTAATATTGCTTCGGGTGCCCGAATTCGAGGAACGTATTTCGCGTTCCCGTATACGGGCTGACAACTATGTGTTATCGAGCCATAAGCAAACTTTAAAAAAGAATGGATATATAAATGACGTTCTACCAGTTAAGTGGTAGGGGGACCAAGGGAATGAGGGCTACCGTTTTCTGCCTCACCAGATGGCGCCACTGTTGAGTGAGGTCCTAAATTGTAACTTTTAAAGTTTATTAATACGCACATGAAATCAAAGGTTACATTTAGATCGTATTTTAACACAAAAGAACCATATCCTAAACATAATAGGCCATGCCACAGTGACGCGCAGTTCCGTTTTATTCAGAAAAAAAAAATGGGAACATAATCATTTTTCTAAGCTCAAATTTTTAATAACTGACATTCATTGCCACATAACTCATATTTGCCATAATTAAGCCGAATCGTTACCAATTATTCACAACATTATTTTATTTAGAAATAAACCCGCGTAGTCAACCAACAAGCAATAACATTTGACATTTCGGAGACCTCACGCTACACTAGCGCCTCTAGCGGCGGATTCATACGCGATAGCCCTTATTGGTATTATTTATTGTTCGACTGACAATATATATTTATGTTTTTATTTATTTTTAAACTAGTCTCTTTAACTAGTTAAACGCTTAAAAATAAATAAAAACATAACTGTAATTGCTATTTCTTCTTTCAAATGTTTAATACTTGAAAAAGTATTCATTTGACATTGTGGGTTACCTACAATGCGAAGAGATGGCGCTGCCTTGCAGCTTAAGGCTAGGAAAATTTCGACGCGGCCAAGAGGGCCGTGGTAGCATAATTGGTTAGTGCATTCGCTCGGATTGCGAAGGGTGCGGGTTCGAGTCCCGTCCGCTGCCTGGTCCGCGTGGATTTTTTCTAGTAAACTTTTCTTTAGATTTGACGATTATATTTGTTTGTTTCAGAGTATGAGTATGGGCGTCAGCGTAGGCGGGTCGGGGGCGGGGGCGGGGGGCGCGAGATACTCGCCTCACCACCATCAGTTGCTAGCACACTTCGCCTCGCCACTCATTGCAGGTAATATACTCTTAACTATTTCTACTGTACAAAATCTACTACTACTCTGCTAGGTATTTCCTAACCTTTCCAATACTGCTACCCCTGTAACCTATTAGGAAAACAGATTTTACCCCGACTTTGAAATTTTATCATCAGTCCAAGAAATTCCAATTTGACCGCTACATCTTCGTCTCTAACAATGTCATCATCAGGAGAAAATCTCGCTCCGCTTCCCACACTCGGCACCCCGCGGGCTCGCTAGCAAGAAGGAGCGCATGCTCTATTTAGTAGTATTATTGTTTATTATTTTCGTATTATTTAGATTTGACCAAATAATTTGGTTCTTTGTTACCCCCGAAGTATTTTTTTTCTTTTTACAATATCAATCCAATGCGTTTACCTAAGAAACCCACATTATGAAAAATCTCACGGGAGATTAGGGAGTGGGGGAGGGGGTTAAATAAAATCTCACGACATCTCACCAGGGGGGGAGGGAGGAACAGAAAATTCAAAAAAACCTCACGTAATTCACGGACGCCCCCTAAGGGGAGAGGGACCATAGGGACAAGGACATAGATAAAGAATAATTTGTAGGGAGTCAAGAAAGTACGCGCGGTGGAAGCCATTCCGCGCGTATCTCCCGCTGCTTCGGCCTGCATGACCAAGAAGCAGGGGCGGATCCAGGGGGGGGGTCATGGGGGTCATGACCCCCCCCCTGGGCTGGGTACAGATGGATCAAACACAGGGGGATTTTATTTAAGTACTTTCAATATTTAATATACCACGACATGATACGCGGGCTTAGTGCGAATTGGAAGGTGCCAATGACTGCAGACGCAGCCGGGACCGATTTAACGTGCCTTTCGAAGCATAGAGGAACTCGAATCACCCATCTGATGACCGGTCGTTACGGGAGTTGCTGAACTTCCATGATCGTAGATTCTTCACTTTAAATAGAACAGACTTCGGTGAAGAGCTGAAGTGTAGACTACAGTTTTTGTTCTCAGACTTGTATTATACACAATGATATTCATCTATGATTCTTCTTATACCTGCATGCAAAGTCTCAGCCCGACCGGTTTAAAATTGACAGTTTCATACAAACTTTCATTCCCTATTTTATTCCCTTGGGGGTAGAATTGATCAAAATCCTTTCTTAGCGGATGCCTACGTCATATCATCTACCTGCATGCCAAATTTCAGCCCGATCCGTCCAGTGGTTTGGGCTGTGCGTTGATAGATCACTATGTCAGTCAGTCACCTTTGAGTTTTATATATATATAGATATACTAAGACTTGGATATATCTTCTAATATATGAAATTCTCGTGTCGCGGTGTTTGTGGTTAAACTCCTCCGAAACGGCTTTCCCGATTCTCATGAAATTTTGTGTGCATATTGGGTAGGTCTGAGAATCGGACAACATCTATTTTTCATCTCCCTAAATGTTAAGGGTAATACAACCCTAAATTTTCACCCTTCTACCACCAACCGCTATTTTTTTATGGGGGTACGAAGTCCGCTGGGTCAGCTAGTAATATATATGTCGGAGTGGGCGAGCGGGATAGGCGGTTGGCCACGTGGTTCATCTTGATCCGCCATCTTGGTTATTTAATGATATTTCTCGAAAATAAAACTGAAGTCTAGTGACCAAGCTAACATTCAATTTGAATCTTCTAATCATTTTACAAAATCAGTAATGATTGCAAAGGCACAAACGGATTGCTTTGCGAAGCGCGGAGAGTTCTCTGCTAACGTCCGTTCACTATCGCGGCTCACGTCTGAATGCCGAATGCCCCTTCCAATGAAGCGTTACCCCCTTAAATACTACCCTTAGCATAGACCACTCCCAAGTGATGACAGCTGTCACTGTCATCACTTGACGTTTCACAAATCAATGGTACAATGACTGATGACATTTGTTGTAGGTTTTACGTTTCGCAGGAGCGAGCGAGACGCCACCCGCCGACATATAGTTTGCTGTAACATAAGCGAATCGATCGTCTCCATTGACCGTGTCGTTTGATTGTCGCAGGTCGGTCGAGCAGCAGTTCCGCCGAGTCAGTATCGAGCGCGAGCGCGTCCCCTCCCCCGGCGCCCCCCCTCGGGGCCAGCGTGGGGTCCAGCGTGGGGTCCAACATGGGGATCGGTTTAGGGACAGGGGGCCGCGTGAGAACCCTGTACGCGTGCCTCGGCGAGTCGGAGGGGGAGCTGTCGTTCGAGCCCAACCAGATCATCACCAACGTGACCGCCTCGCCCGAGCCCGGCTGGCTGCGAGGCACGCTCAACGGGAAGACCGGCCTCGTGCCCGAGAACTACGTCGAGCGGCTGCCTTAGGTCGGCCTCGTGCCCGACAACTACGTCGAGCGGCTGCCTTAGGTCGGCCTCGTGCCCGACAACTACGTCGAGCGGCTGCCTTAGGTCGGCCTCGTGCCCGACAACTACGTCGAGCGACTGCCTTAGGTCGGCCTCGTGCCCGACAACTACGTCGAGCGGCTGCCTTAGGTCGGCCTCGTGCCCGACAACTACGTCGAGCGACTGCCTTAGGTCGGCCTCGTGCCCGACAACTACGTCGAGCGACTGCCTTAGACTACGGATCAGCTCGATGCGTGTCGCCTCAGCTTGATGGCACCAGACGCGCGTCGAGTAGCCGCTGCTTTAATAGCAATAACCATTATTAAGAAAAAGAGGAGGCAACAAAAAGCTATACAAAAGAGGAAGCATCGCCGGTGGATAAAAGAATTATACCGCAATAGAACTATACATGGATGTGAACGCTCGCTATTGCACATGACGTTGGAAGGTGGCGATAGCTTTCGAAATTTTAGCGACCGTCTCCATTAAACACACGGCTCGGACTGAGGCGCCTTTGAGCACGGCACAGAAACCGACAAAATATGTCTCGGCTCGCGGCGACGAATTTGCCTCGCGTCGCGGCGTGCCTCAGGTCGAGGCAGCGTCTCCACTCGCGCAGCCTCGGAGCGAGGCAGCCGCTCGACCCGAGGCTGCCTCTAGTGGATACGCGGCTTTAGACTGACATCCGAGACTCGCGCCCGCCTAGTATTACCGACTGTGCGGCAAGGATCTTTAACAATGCGAATGTCGGTTCAGCCCCTCTAGCATGACCACCTAAAACGGGATAGGGTAAAGTGTGGTGATGGGGTGTGGGTGACTCACGGGAGAAATCACGACAAGCGTTCAGTGTGGAATCAACATTGTGACGTTCTTAGGGCTTTTAGATACCTAATCGTATCGGGGATGTGTTATCAACACGTAATAGGGGTGATGACGGGGTACAATAAACGAAATTCTATTTAGTCCGTCGGTTAGATGGTCAAAAAATAATGGACACGTATTTTTTCTTTGGGCAATCAACCAAAAAATGACGAAGTTGTAGCGCGTCAAAGTTTGGGGGTAGGGGCTCGTGACGTCACTTTTGAGTGAATTTTCACTTATAAGTGTACTCAAACGTGACGTCATGCGACTTTTCAAATCAATATATCTCTGCAATGTTTATATTATGTGAAAAAAGGAAAAATACGTGTCCAATACGAAGAAAAAAAATTGTCATCATCCCTATTAGAGGACGTGATTTACACTTCACCACGAAAGCGATACATCGACATTAACTATCAGACTATAGTGGAGTTTGACAGTTGAGATTCGATAAAAAGCTTTATCATATCGCGTTTCGGTAGTCATGCTAGAGGGGCAGGGAGGGCGCCCCTGTCTACGTTAACGACCGTAGCTGCGTTCGTTATTTGCGTCGGTCAATGTTTTTAGTCTGAATCGTTTATCTATTACATATAGAGGGCCGTTTAAGTATTACGTAAGCAGATTTATTACAATAATTACCCCCCCCCCCCCCATGCTTACGTAAACATTGGTATCTACTTTTTTTTAATGCATCCCCGACTATGCGTTTCGTTTTCAAATATAGACAATGCGTGGGTTGCCATTTGTGTAAATAAAAATAACTATTGCTGGCGAAATTACCATCTAGCCCCCCCCCCCCCCCCCCCCACCCTATGAATGAGGATTCATCAAAAATAAGTAAAGCATAACCCCCCCCCCCCCCCTGTAGTGCTTACGTAATACTTGAACGGCCCCTAGGGGTAGGGTAGGTATATCTGAACTGTTCGGTGATTCCCCTCGGATCAGACCAATGTGAATCTGTTTGTTCGGTATTTTGACCGTCAAGAGAGATTACTTTGTGTATCTGTCATGTTGTGAGGTTAGTTTCTGTTTGAGGTTAGAAATTTGTTTATATCTTGTATGAATTTAATCTGCGGTTGGTCGGGCCGTTTGTTAATAACAATTTGCTCAGACTAATCTGTGATAACGTGACCAAAAATCCGCCACCTCTGCGATGCGAATACCGAACGTAGCTCGTAAATGACATACAAATTATGAGGTTTACAAAGACGGCGGCGTTAGTTCCAGTTTTGGCCACATTCGTGAAGATCCTTGTCGCTCTACACATTGTTGATTGTTCTCTACTTATCTGTATATTTTGTACATTGTAAATAAGAGTCTGTTGATATTTCTATTTATATTATATTATACTTATGTTGTGAATTTTGTACCAAATATACTATAACGTATTATGCGATATCCGTCGTGGATTAATGATTAAAAATATTATGTTAGAATTTGGACTTTCAATATCTCGACCGGCCACTCGCCCCTCCCCCCTCCCCTTGTGATGCTGAAGTTTGTTAAACTGAGAAACGATAAGCAAGAAAACTGACAATAGGGTATTTGACAGTATTAAAAATAAAGTACCAATTGTTAGCATCTGTGTTTAGAATGAATATTGGCAGAGGTTTTTACTATTATTACAAAAAAAAAATATTCATAATTTTACTAAAAACCCACGAAAAGGATAATAGTTTTCTTATCTATTGTCACGTGACCCAAAACGCTTGGGATTGGCGGAGCCTAATATGACGTTACACGCAAGTAAACTTCCGGTTAAAGTGACATTACATTGTATCGTTTGACGATTTAATAACAGTCGTGTGACGTCACACACTAGTAAGACGCCATATTGTGCAGAAAAATGTTTTCGCGGCAACTAGAAAATGGAGTTTTTGATTTGGTTATTTTTACTGAAATACACAACAGAATGATGAATACCCTTTTACGTACTTGTTACGGATTCCATAAACATTAGTCAATAACGTGAGATCGTTTTCTAAAACTTGTCAAATACCTTATTCTCGCAACCAGAGGCGTTGATATGGTTTCACCCGAAGCGATTTATCATCATCAGCCTATTAATGTACCCATTGCTGGTACAACATGCCCTCCCTATGGATGGAATGGGGATATTGGGCCATGACCCACCACTGGGGCTCAGTGCTTATTAGTGGGTGCTAAGGACTGCCCATGCTGCCGGGCCCAGCGGATTAACATGCCTTCCGAAGCACGGAGAAGCTCGAGGTAATAAGTTTTTGGTCACCCATCCAATGACCGACTATTCCGAAAGTTGCTTACCACCTGCAACACCGAGCTCCTTCACATTCACATCTGTTAAAATAGATCCTACATAAAGTAGTTGCAATTCACATTTATAGTATCTTAAAAATATAGTGTAATTAATATAAATTGTGATCAGTTCTTTCCTAAAGTCATCTTTCACCGCTCATGCGTCTAAATATTTACAAAATTACATTTTTTTATCAGCAGGACAAGAATAACCGAACTAAAAAACCCAGTGACAGATTAATTACAATAAATCATACGAAAGCAACGCAATCTGAAGTAAATGAAAAAATTTGAAATCAAAATGAATTTTTTTCAGTAACATTTTCACACCGAGAATTGATCATTTACATATTAGCGGGTTCGACTCCCGGTACACACACGCATTTTTTTTTAATTCTTCGAAAGCATTTCCTTCTTGTTTTAAAAATTAAATGAAGTCTTCCTTCAGCTAAAATTTCTATTTACAGTATTTAAGGTAAACTCCTTCCATGTGGCAAAGTTTTAGGACAGCCTGTATGTCTTATCTATTAGACAAGTCCGTCTGTCTGTGGTGCTGTTTCAGCGGCCAAACCGTAAGAGATAGATAAAGAGAATATTTAAGTTATAAGTTAAGAATAGTCTGATAAGACTACAAATCCGATTTGAGTAACGTAGCACTTCCGGTTTTCGAGAAATCAGGTTTTGATGAACATTTGGTTCACTGGTTTGCTAGTAGTTGAAAATAATAAAGACAGTTTTGTTTCATCAGTAGTATATTACGATACGACGATAGTTACACATATAAAAATATATATATCGACAGTAAAAATGATGCTGGCAATCGACAAAGCTGACTGAAATAAAATTCATCACGAGCGGTGCACCGCATTATAAATTCTGTGAAGTGCACCGTGAGATTAAAGTAGCTTGCTAGACATCGTTGTATTGGTAGGCATAAGCCAATATGGTCATTATATGCACAATTCGTGAGACATGTTCCTTTACCGCATTCTAATACAGCAATATCAAGAGTGCAATATAGGCAACGAATAGTTTACTAGAATATTATCAAAAAATACAATCATTTTTCGATTTAACTGTCGCATATCCTACTTTTAGAAATGTATCAAGCTGCCGGTTTCTCTAACACCATTGTTCTCGACGGTGTCCAAGCTAACTTCCTCACAGAGATTAGAAATCTGAGCATTGAAATGTTTCTGTAAGTGTAAAATACGTTATACATTTTTTTATTGCTTCAAATCACTTGTGAGAAAGTCGGAAAGACACAATATTTAAAATAGTCCTTTACCAAACAAAGGCTTTTACAACAATATATACACAATTATAACGATATCACTGGTATAAATTAACATATTACTGTATGTACAGGAGCTAGCTAGGGTTTAAATGATCATTGCCATATAAAAATTATCATTTGAAAAGATACAATTATGACAAAGGGCATTCTCAATCCAAACTATACACCGTGAATTTTCAGTTAACCGAGGAACTTAAAGTGTTGTAAATAAATAATAAGAATTTATAATAATTAAAATAAAATAAGGGTTGAAATTAGAAAATTAGTCGAGTTATGTAAAGATATTTTTCGCAAAAAAATAATTAAGGATTTTTTTTGCAGAAATGTAAGCTAAATCTTTTTCCGAATAGCTAGTAGTTTCTCAGGTAATTCAAAATTCACAGTGTATGCATAAATATCAACAATTCAATTTATTCTTATTTTCATTTATATATGAAACCGGGAGGAGCGGTGCAGCGTAACATGTAATACATTAAAGTTTGGATCTGAACGTTTTTTATTTAATATAAGTGCACAAATAATCTCTCTTCACGCCACGGAAAAAGGGTAGTAAAGCTGTCATCGCTATTACGCCATCGTCAAAGATATCTTCGGCCACAAATCACATGATAAATAAAATATTCGCTCATCGGCGTCGGTCCCGTTTCTACTCGCACAGGTCGGACGCAAAAATCGAATCCAATCATATTTTCCAAGTCAAGCCAGTATGCGGTCCATCATTCGACAAGTCGAGCCGCTCGGTCGTCCAGTATATACATATCACTTCGCGCGTCTCTCCGCCCACCGTCGCGAGCTCAAAACCGGCGCACCGTCGTCGCCGACGTTCTCATATTTACAAACTCACCGCGGCACCGGAACGTCGTCCCGCACTCACTCGCGGCTCGCGTCTAAGAGCTGTCGCACGCGGCCGCACTCCGCCAGCTGCGGCGGCGACGCGGCCGCGCTGCCTCCCGCGGGCGGCGCGGTGGGAGCGGGCGTCGGTAGAGACGGAGGCGCGCGGGAGGGGCGCGGTAGTTCTCGAGCCGCGAGCCGCTCCAAGCGGTGCGCTTCCGTGGAGCGCAGCACCCGCAGGAGCGCCGCGTATTTGTCGCGCACGGCTCGCAGACGCGCATCGGCCTCGTCGGCGGCGAGTCGCGCGGCCCGCTTGAGGTCTGCGGCGGCGGCGTCTCGGGCCGCCAGCGCCGCTTCGAGCTCGTGCGCGCGCGCACACGCGGCGTCGGCGCGCGCTGCGCTCGCGTCGGCGTCGGCGGCGGCGCGGGCGCAGGCGGCCCGCAGCGCGCGCGTTTCGGCGGCGCCGGCGCCCTGAGGCTGTCGGGAGGCGCCGGCCCGCGCCGCGCTCGCGAGCCGCGCTTCCCTCTCTCCCAGCACGAGCAGCTCCCGCCGCAAGCGACGCACGGCGTCGGCGCGGGTGTCGGCGGCGAGGGCGGTGCGAGCGAGCGCCTCGACATGTCTCGCGGCGTCGTGCGACTCGCCGCGCGTGCGCCGCAGCTCGGCCGCGTCGCGCGCGCGCTGCTGCTCGGCCTCGTGCAGCGCGGCCTCGGCGCGGTGTCGCGCGGTCCGCTCGTCGGCGAGCGCGGCCTCGAGGCCGGCCTCGCGCTCGGCGGCGGCGGCGGCGGCGGCCGCGACGGTCGCGGCGGGCTCCCGAGCGAGTCTGAATACGATATTCCCGAGAAAAATTAAAAAATCGATGTGTAGCAGAGAGTGCAGAGTATAGAGCGAAGCCCGGAGATACACCGATGTTCACCGACGCGACCTGCGCGCTTCGTTCGTTCATAAGAACGAAATTACAAGAAAAAAAAGAAGCGCCGAAAAAGAAGATTTTAGGGCCAAACGATCGAAAGCCTCGCCGGTGCCTCCGATTACATAAAAATAGTACAATTTTGATGAGTCGATCGAAACATACCGCATCAGTAGCAGAACAACATGCTTTTTTCCAAGTTAGAAGTGTCAATGCAAAGGAGATTGCTCAAATTGGCCTAAATGCACAAAAAATACTGACATACGCGGTAATTCTTGGCATAATTTATAATTTAATTTACAGTCATTAGATTTCAACGAACACCTTTGTATAATATATTTATTTTAAAAAAAAATGGTTGCCTGTAAAGTCGGTTTTACGGGCGAAGATTTTACGTGACAACGTCTTTTTCTCGGTAGAATATTTATTGATATGAATATAATTAAATTGCACAATAGGAACAAGGAATTGAATGAAAATAAGAATTGCACAAATTTTAACTATAGAAATATATATAATACGTCAAAAAAACATATTACAATGCATTGTGCTTGTGAATACCATCGTAGCATGCAACCACGCTACGACAATTCGTAGCAAACTTGCTACACGGCTACGGGGTTCCAGCATGCTACGAGACTCATCGTAACGTTACCGAGCGTTACACTTTTTCATAAGTGACTCCCAGCCGCAACCTAATTTAAGACGTTGTCACGTCAAAAAAACTTTTAATTTTACCGATTTGGAAAGCATACGAATACCATTTTTAATGGCTATTATTCTCTGTCTACGCTATGGGTGTAGTAACATTCAGCCATTCAATTATTATAGATGGTAGGCGACATCATAAAGTCTATTACATTTTTCGCCAAACACCTCCATAAACACATTATAATCTGTATATATGTTAGACTTTAAGGTCTAAGGACTTAAGGTAGGATCTAAGGGCCTACGTTCCCTGACTATAAATTAATAAATAAATAAAATTATCTAAAATATGGTTATCTTAAAATCATAACAAAAATAATGAAGCTACTGAATATATGGCTATAGAACCTAAATCTCTTAGCTTTCTTGGTTAACGAGAGTTTAAAAATTCTCTCTAATCTATGGCTCATTCACAATCATCACCCAGTTTCTGTCACAGAGTACCTTATTATAACCAGAAATGACACCTGATTTTAAAAGTTACTCTTATGCATTAACTTTAAAAACAGGCAACTGTCTGTTAATCTACATGCTCTATATACCTGAATCTAATCCATAATTTCGGTACTTGGCTTGATTTCCCTAGTTTACTATACAGGGTGAAATTGAATGTTTCTATGAAACTTCGTGAGATTATTGCGTTACGTGTATAGAGTATACCTGATTTTTTTCAAATTTTTTAAAATTATTTTTTTCGTTTTTTATTTTTTTTTATTTTGCATTTTTATGTCCTTTCCTCCTTTTGAGTGATAATTATTTTTAAAAAAGGAATTAATAGTAAGTGAAATATAACAAATAAATAAGCACTACTAAAATAAACGAAAAATAGTTGATGTGGCCAGGCGAGGCCGACGCCGGGGGCAACGACCGCGCGCGCACAGCTGACGCGGCGCGTACCTATCTACAGTACAGTGAGACTACGACCTCGAGATACTGTGTTCATACTAAACAGCATCTCAAAATCGCTCTCAGAGTTGAGATCGTTCTATTCATACGGGCCTTAGATGTCATATTACAATGACAAAATTTATATAAAGAACAAGTGTTATGTTCTCATTAGCAGAGAAAAATACCTAAAAAGTTAATAATAATTTTGTTACAAAAACAAATACTTATTACAGTTTAATACTTGGGTCAGAAAGAAATTTATAACTAGGTATTAGACAGTACTTACGAGACCGGCGATGTAGGTAGGTACAACGAGGAACGAGGAACATATTCATTTTTTTCACTAGAACTTTTTATCAAATCAATCACACTGGTAGTACACTAATTAGTTGTTTCGAATCAAAAAGTATTAACGCTAGCAAAAAAAAGAGACTAAAATTATTATTTGCAAAGTTATTGCACTATACTTGCCTAAAGCAAGCCTTGCGGCTCTACTGAGCACTTCGTCACACTCGCGATAGCAGTACACCATTTCTAAATATTCTTGGTTCGTATACCGAGGCATAATGAAATTATCAGTGTTTGTCACTAAGTCAAAAGATGCGCACGCGCAATTGATATACTTGCGACTGCCCTTTGCATGCATTGCAATCAAAGCAAAGCACCGCGCGCGGGGAAGAGGGGAGGTGGGCGGGCGAGCGTCGGCGTACATAAAAGGCAGGACTTTTTAAGGTGCTTTCACATAATCATGCCGAAATAGCCCGCGCCGTACTACTTACTAAGACTAAGACTAAAGTAAAGCCTTATATTTCTATAGTCAAACATTTACAAAAAAAAACTGCCGTTGATATTTGTTACTGCCTCAGTAAGGCACCTCGCGCACTAGACGATAATGACCACGACCAGGAGCCGCGAGGACCAGATTAACTAAGGCACGTCGTGCACTAGGCCACGACCATGAACAGTCGTGGCCGTGGCCGTCACCACAACCTTGATCGCAGAAGCTACGGTTGGGCTGCGGACAAGTTTGTGGCAACGACCACGACTGGTCGTAAAGCGACCATATTACTGGTCGTTTCTTTATTTCATTAATAAATAACTCTTTCAAAGCTCTTTGCAGAAAAATATCGTCGTCCTATAGAGTTGCGGAACGATACGAAGCGTGCTCTTTCACGAACTATCAGCATGACACTGAGAATGGCTGAAGCGACCAGGCCGCATTTGCGATCGCAGATCTAGAGTGCGAGCGCTCATAGCCAGCTATACGGAAGATAGTCGCAACGACTAGTGGTACTGGCCCGCACTAGATCTGCGACAGCGAATGCGGTCAATCTCAGTGTCAAGGTCATGCGGACAGTTCGTGAATGAACATGTTTCATACCGTTCTTCGACTGAATATGACGACGTTTTTTTCTACAATAAGTTTTGATACAGAGTTATTAATTAATGAAATAAACGACCAGCAATATGGTAGCGTCACGACCAGTCGTGGTCGTGGTCGCAGACCGCAGCCGCAGCCCAACCGCCTCTGCGACCAAGGTTGCGGCCACGTCCACAACTGATCGTGGCCGCGGTCGTCTAGTGCGCGAAGTGCCTTAATCGAACAACATGATAAACATTTAACATTTCAAAATTATAAAGTTGTCGTATCCACAACAATTCATTCATTTGTTGATAAAAATGTTGGAGAACTAGCGTCAGATTGTTCAATACATCGCTATTGCTGATTTAGTGTATTCGCACCTTTAGCGAAACTTTGGCGAATCGTGCTGTTTCTTTCTTCTCTGAAAGGAAAACGCGCACTATAAACGAAAACGGATTCACATCATCAAAGACGCCGCGACCGGCGCCAGCGCTGCACTTGTCTTGCCAGCGGGCGCGCGGGCGGCGCGTCGCCCGACCGTGCTTGCCGCAAAACAACATATTGTGTGTGTGTGTGTGTGTGTGACTGTGACTGTGACTGTGATTAAATGTGTTCGGAATTTCATGACGTGGGCAAATCAGTCACGAAGAGTTATTTCCTTCACTAAGCTCGTAAGTTAAACCGATTTGCTCTGTATAATTTTTCGCCGTTTGCTCAAGTTTTAATTAAACGAGGCAACTAACATCAACAATAAAAAAGAAGTTCTTACACTAACAGTCAGTCTTTACCGATTTAAAATCGTGACAGTCATATTAACTTTATAGGATTTTTAATTGCTCTAACAGAAGATTTATTTTATTGATTAATTACCTGTGCTTTATGAAACAATATTCAAAGGTATTGTGTATCAGTGAATAAATAATTATAATATAGCATATAAGACTATTTTATTGTAATGTTTTTAAATAGTGTGGAATCAAAGCGGATAGTAGGTAAGCGCCGAGTCATCTGTGCGTGTCGTAGGTACCTACATAGGCAGCCGCCGCCGCCGGTCGTCGCCCCCGGCCGGGGCTGATCTGGACTGGAGTCATTCATTAAGTTTCCGTTTTTTTAGGAGTGCTTATTTTAAGTGGTTTTACAACTTCTATGTAGACGTGTTTAAAATGAATAATTACTCATAAGGAAGAAATGACAAATAATAACCAAATAAAAAAATAAAACACGTAAAAAATAATTTAAAAAAATCCGACAAAAATCAGGCATACTCTATACACGTAACCCACCAATCTCACGAAGTTTCATTGAAACATTCAATTTCACCCTATATAACTTATTTGTTTTTTATTATTTTAATATGTTCAGTGTATATGGTTTATAGAAGTTCTCAGGGGTGTCCGTCAATAATATTCGTTTCTACAGTAATTTATATATAATTTCGAATCTAGGAAACAATTTTTCATGATTATTGGTCTTTAGGCCAAACATGTATGGAAGCTGAGCAATCTCCTTTGATTACTTACACCGATTTCGTAGTGAACGTTATGAACGCTGAATATCTGGTAGATGGTCCGTGTATACCGACTTCTCGAAGGCATTCGACAAAATTAATCATTCTATACTAGTAAAAAAGCTTTTCGGGATCGGTATACATGGCGATCTGCTAAGACATGTCAGAAAGCAGCCGCAGCTAGTCCCGCTCGCGCGCGTCCCCCCGGAGCCGGTCCCGGTCCCGGTCCCACACTCACCGCAGCCGCAGCTCGTCCCGCTCGCGCGTGAGTGCCCGGAGCCGGTCCCGCAGCGCGTGGTTGTGCAGGTCCGCAGCGCGCGCGCGCCGACAGCGCCCCAGCAGCCTCCGGTCCCGGTCCCGGTCCCGGTCCCACACCCACACTCACCGCAGCCGCAGCTCGTCCCGCTCGCGCGTGAGTGCCCGGAGCCGGTCCCGCAGCGCGTGGTTGTGCAGGTCCGCAGCGCGCGCGCGCCGACAGCGCCCCAGCAGCCTCCGGTCCCGGTCCCGGTCCCGGTCCCACACCCACACTCACCGCAGCCGCAGCTCGTCCCGCTCGCGCGTGAGTGCCCGGAGCCGGTCCCGCAGCGCGTGGTTGTGCAGGTCCGCAGCGCGCGCGCGCCGACAGCGCCCCAGCAGCCTCCGGTCCCGGTCCCGGTCCCACACCCACACCCACACTCACCGCAGCCGCAGCTCGTCCCGCTCGCGCGTGAGTGCCCGGAGCCGGTCCCGCAGCGCGTGGTTGTGCAGGTCCGCAGCGCGCGCGCGCCGACAGCGCCCCAGCAGCCTCCGGTCCCGGTCCCGGTCCCGGTCCCACACCCACACCCACACTCACCGCAGCCGCAGCTCGTCCCGCTCGCGCGTGAGTGCCCGGAGCCGGTCCCGCAGCGCGTGGTTGTGCAGGTCCGCAGCGCGCGCGCGCCGACAGCGCCCCAGCAGCCTCCGGTCCCGGTCCCGGTCCCGGTCCCACACCCACACTCACCGCAGCCGCAGCTCGTCCCGCTCGCGCGTGAGTGCCCGGAGCCGGTCCCGCAGCGCGTGGTTGTGCAGGTCCGCAGCGCGCGCGCGCCGACAGCGCCCCAGCAGCCTCCGGTCCCGGTCCCGGTCCCACACCCACACCCACACTCACCGCAGCCGCAGCTCGTCCCGCTCGCGCGTGAGTGCCCGGAGCCGGTCCCGCAGCGCGTGGTTGTGCAGGTCCGCAGCGCGCGCGCGCCGACAGCGCCCCAGCAGCCTCCGGTCCCGGTCCCGGTCCCACACCCACACCCACACTCACCGCAGCCGCAGCTCGTCCCGCTCGCGCGTGAGTGCCCGGAGCCGGTCCCGCAGCGCGTGGTTGTGCAGGTCCGCAGCGCGCGCGCGCCGACAGCGCCCCAGCAGCCTCCGGTCCCGGTCCCGGTCCCACACCCACACCCACACTCACCGCAGCCGCAGCTCGTCCCGCTCGCGCGTGAGTGCCCGGAGCCGGTCCCGCAGCGCGTGGTTGTGCAGGTCCGCAGCGCGCGCGCGCCGACAGCGCCCCAGCAGCCTCCGGTCCCGGTCCCGGTCCCGGTCCCACACCCACACCCACACTCACCGCAGCCGCAGCTCGTCCCGCTCGCGCGTGAGTGCCCGGAGCCGGTCCCGCAGCGCGTGGTTGTGCAGGTCCGCAGCGCGCGCGCGCCGACAGCGCCCCAGCAGCCTCCGGTCCCGGTCCCGGTCCCGGTCCCACACCCACACCCACACTCACCGCAGCCGCAGCTCGTCCCGCTCGCGCGTGAGTGCCCGGAGCCGGTCCCGCAGCGCGTGGTTGTGCAGGTCCGCAGCGCGCGCGCGCCGACAGCGCCCCAGCAGCCTCCGGTCCCGGTCCCGGTCCCGGTCCCACACCCACACCCACACTCACCGCAGCCGCAGCTCGTCCCGCTCGCGCGTGAGTGCCCGGAGCCGGTCCCGCAGCGCGTGGTTGTGCAGGTCCGCAGCGCGCGCGCGCCGACAGCGCCCCAGCAGCCTCCGGTCCCGGTCCCGGTCCCGGTCCCACACCCACACTCACCGCAGCCGCAGCTCGTCCCGCTCGCGCGTGAGTGCCCGGAGCCGGTCCCGCAGCGCGTGGTTGTGCAGGTCCGCAGCGCGCGCGCGCCGACAGCGCCCCAGCAGCCTCCGGTCCCGGTCCCGGTCCCACACCCACACCCACACTCACCGCAGCCGCAGCTCGTCCCGCTCGCGCGTGAGTGCCCGGAGCCGGTCCCGCAGCGCGTGGTTGTGCAGGTCCGCAGCGCGCGCGCGCCGACAGCGCCCCAGCAGCCTCCGGTCCCGGTCCCGGTCCCGGTCCCACACCCACACCCACACTCACCGCAGCCGCAGCTCGTCCCGCTCGCGCGTGAGTGCCCGGAGCCGGTCCCGCAGCGCGTGGTTGTGCAGGTCCGCAGCGCGCGCGCGCCGACAGCGCCCCAGCAGCCTCCGGTCCCGGTCCCGGTCCCGGTCCCACACCCACACTCACCGCAGCCGCAGCTCGTCCCGCTCGCGCGTGAGTGCCCGGAGCCGGTCCCGCAGCGCGTGGTTGTGCAGGTCCGCAGCGCGCGCGCGCCGACAGCGCCCCAGCAGCCTCCGGTCCCGGTCCCGGTCCCACACCCACACCCACACTCACCGCAGCCGCAGCTCGTCCCGCTCGCGCGTGAGTGCCCGGAGCCGGTCCCGCAGCGCGTGGTTGTGCAGGTCCGCAGCGCGCGCGCGCCGACAGCGCCCCAGCAGCCTCCGGTCCCGGTCCCGGTCCCACACCCACACCCACACTCACCGCAGCCGCAGCTCGTCCCGCTCGCGCGTGAGTGCCCGGAGCCGGTCCCGCAGCGCGTGGTTGTGCAGGTCCGCAGCGCGCGCGCGCCGACAGCGCCCCAGCAGCCTCCGGTCCCGGTCCCGGTCCCACACCCACACCCACACTCACCGCAGCCGCAGCTCGTCCCGCTCGCGCGTGAGTGCCCGGAGCCGGTCCCGCAGCGCGTGGTTGTGCAGGTCCGCAGCGCGCGCGCGCCGACAGCGCCCCAGCAGCCTCCGGTCCCGGTCCCGGTCCCGGTCCCACACCCACACCCACACTCACCGCAGCCGCAGCTCGTCCCGCTCGCGCGTGAGTGCCCGGAGCCGGTCCCGCAGCGCGTGGTTGTGCAGGTCCGCAGCGCGCGCGCGCCGACAGCGCCCCAGCAGCCTCCGGTCCCGGTCCCGGTCCCGGTCCCACACCCACACCCACACTCACCGCAGCCGCAGCTCGTCCCGCTCGCGCGTGAGTGCCCGGAGCCGGTCCCGCAGCGCGTGGTTGTGCAGGTCCGCAGCGCGCGCGCGCCGACAGCGCCCCAGCAGCCTCCGGTCCCGGTCCCGGTCCCGGTCCCACACCCACACCCACACTCACCGCAGCCGCAGCTCGTCCCGCTCGCGCGTGAGTGCCCGGAGCCGGTCCCGCAGCGCGTGGTTGTGCAGGTCCGCAGCGCGCGCGCGCCGACAGCGCCCCAGCAGCCTCCGGTCCCGGTCCCGGTCCCGGTCCCACACCCACACCCACACTCACCGCAGCCGCAGCTCGTCCCGCTCGCGCGTGAGTGCCCGGAGCCGGTCCCGCAGCGCGTGGTTGTGCAGGTCCGCAGCGCGCGCGCGCCGACAGCGCCCCAGCAGCCTCCGGTCCCGGTCCCGGTCCCGGTCCCACACCCACACCCACACTCACCGCAGCCGCAGCTCGTCCCGCTCGCGCGTGAGTGCCCGGAGCCGGTCCCGCAGCGCGTGGTTGTGCAGGTCCGCAGCGCGCGCGCGCCGACAGCGCCCCAGCAGCCTCCGGTCCCGGTCCCGGTCCCGGTCCCACACCCACACCCACACTCACCGCAGCCGCAGCTCGTCCCGCTCGCGCGTGAGTGCCCGGAGCCGGTCCCGCAGCGCGTGGTTGTGCAGGTCCGCAGCGCGCGCGCGCCGACAGCGCCCCAGCAGCCTCCGGTTCCGCTCGGCGTGCACGTCGCGCCGCCACCGCTCGTGCGCGAGCTGCGCGTGCAGCCAGGCGAGCTGCTCGACGGCCTCGCCGCCGCCTCCCACTTTCCCCGCGCAGATGTCTCTCAAGTACGCATCCAGCGCCGCCTCGGGCGCCCATTCCCCGTTCACCTCGACCTGTTTATTTATTTATTTATTTGACATACCATCGACAGTTTCATAAATTTCAATAAAGATTTAAATATTATTAAGATTAGATTATTTTTAGCATTCAACCGTGTGAATTGCCATTGCAGGCATGTCCTACATTAAGTATATGTAGGTAGGTACTTATATCTGTTACAGTAACATCGTTACATCATGATCATCAATCATCGATATATCTCGTTGTATGCATCTTTAATTCTGTTAGACGGTGAAGCTGTTTCGTTTTAAAGGGACAGTTAACGAATGATTTGATGGGTTGGCGGGGGATTTTTCTGGGAACCTTTAACATAATTTCCGCAAAAAGACCTTGCGCAAAAATATTGCCGTAAAGTAATTTGTGCAGAAATAAAATGTTCTCGGTTTTCCTACTCCTCTTCCAAGGTATGAAGTTTAAAGAAAGAAAAATTACGTTGAATTCGCTCGATTCTATCAATGTGGACTCGACATCGCGGATTCCAGACTTAAGAACTGTACTCTAGTATACTTTACACCAAGCTCTTATACAAACATAAATTGTTGCAGTCTTATGGATATTCTTACACAGGCGTTGCAAGAAACCCAACTTTTTTAATGCATTTGCAACAATAACGTTAATATGTTCAATGAATCCGAGCTTTTTATCAATTACAATGCCCAGATCACGAGTCGAACCCACTTCGGTTAGCTGTGCAGAATTAATAGTATAGACAGAAGCGTTAATGGATTTTATCTTTCTGATAAATTTTATCAACAGACATTTACTTGCGTTAAGTCATACCGTTGTCTACGTACCATTCCGATACCAAGTCTAGATCTTTTTGGAGCAAAAGTATATCTTCCTCGTTTTTGATCGGTCGATACAACTTTAAATCGTCGGCAAAAAGAGAGCAGCTGGTATACCGGATTTTATTAGGGATATCGTTAATGAAAACGAGAAACAGAATTGGTCCCAAGATCGAACCCTGGGGTACTCCCGACGAGGTGAGGAATGGTTTCGATTTGTAGCAGTTCACAACTACCCTTAACAACCGATGCTCTAAGTAAGAACGGAGCCATAGCAGTAGGGGTCCGTGAATTCCATAACGCTTCAGTTTCATAAACAGTATATTGTGGTCAACCTTGTCAAACGCACTGCTAAAATCTGTATAAATGGAATCTATTTCTACGCCAGAGTCGATTGATTTCGTTAGTTCATTGACATACGAAACAAGATTGGTTGCTGCTGATTTATGTTTACAGAATCCGTGCTGGTTTGCATGAATGATCAGATGATCCGCGAGACTCTTAACCTAAACCTATTGTTTTCTCTGAGTGTGGGCGGTAATTGCAAATACATATGTATTAGATAAAGAGGCACCCTATAGCTTTTCAAGTGATACATTGTTAGCCTGCAAATTAATAACATAAAGTAACAATTTATGCCAATTTAACCAGAACTTATAGAACCTACGTCATACTGCTTTTCACGGTACTTACTCAGTCTTCACGTTTATTTAGATATTTTTTAGTTTACTCGTAATATCGTTGCTAATAGGAGTTCAAATAGTGAAGTGTTATACAATTAACTAATACAAGTGTTATTCACAAGCAAAACAAAGGATTTGGTGATTTATAACTCGTCTATCATTTCGCCTCGTAATTTTTTTTTCTTTCTACCGCCAAATCCCAATAGCGGAAAGCGTCATATTCAATTGACAAGCTGTCACCTCATCTTGACAACTCGCCATAGACAAATAGAGTTGCCATATCCCAAAAGTTCTACCATATTCGGGAAAATTTTGCAACAATGAGCACGTGTGGTGGTTGTAAAAAAATTATCTCTGCTTCGGATGTGATTACATGTTCGAAATGTTCTGGGACGTATCACTACATATGCGTTAATATAAGCAAGGAAAATTTCAAGAAACTGTCCAAAGAATCCAAGAACGCCTGGAAGTGCCCAGTCTGTAAAAATATGCAGCCAAAAGGTGGTGATAACTCTGACACACCAATACGGAGTTCCAAGTTAGACAGCAACGTTCATGATAACTCAAAAGTAGTTTCAACTGCAATCACACCTTCTTCTTCACAATTAGATCCAAACCTGTTAGCTTTTATTAAACAGGAAATTAAATTAACCATCAAAGAAGCAATGAAGTCTTCTATGAAAAACTTTGAGAGCGAACTTCGTGACATCAAAAATGAATTCAATGCATTGAAAGAGTTAAAAAACTCGATTGTCTTCCTGAGTGACGATTATGACGCTGTAAAAGCAGACTTAAAAACCAATACCGATAAGATATCTTCCTTGGAAAAACAGAACTTTGACCAGGCCGATACTATTCGTGATTTATCATCTAGATTGAACCTAATGGAACAGCACTGTCGACAAAATAATATCGAAATCAACGGCGTTCCAGAAAATAAATCTGAAAACATACTTTCATTGGTGAAGCAAATAGGAACAGTAATTTCTTGTCCCATCGAAGAGACTGATATTATTGCATGTACCAGAGTGAGAAAACTTGACAGCACTAGCAAGAGACCTTCTTAACGTTTTGCTTATTTTAGAATAACAAACACTTATACTTTCTATGGATTCTTTATTTATGTAAGACATTTAACAATCACCTTTTAGTTCTTGAGTATGAGAGAAAAGTATGTCGGGCGGATACGGATACAACCACAGATAATACAGACAGACATAAAGAGACTATACGTTCCATTTCTCAACACTCCCTCCCAATTACAGCATTTTTATTTTATTTTTACCACTACAAACTAGCCATAAATACAAAACTTGTAATTGCAACACTAACCATTAAACAATGAACTGTCAGTGTAACAGTCATAACTCGATGACAAACAAAAACAAATACTTATTCTTTTTTATTACCAAAACATGTTTAAATTTAATCTTTTAACTTCTAAGGTTTCTAGTTTAACAATACTATTTGACAATTTTAACATTCTGACATACCAATACACTTTCTTAGATAATTAAAGGTAAGTTTACATAAAGGTTTTGTAAAGATATCAGCCTTCTGATTAACAGTACTTATGTACTTTACTATTATGTGACCATTCTGTATTGTATCTTTAATAAAATGATGTTTAATATCTATGTGTTTTATTCTAGTATTATTTTCTCTATTATTTGACATCTGTATGCAACTCTGATTATCAACAAAAATTACAATGCTTTGACAATTTACATTAAGAACACAAGCTAATCCTTTGTACCATAACGCTTCAGACACAAGTGAACTGAGGGCTACATACTCTGCTTCAGCAGTAGAAAGAGATACAGTTTTCTGTTTACGAGTTGACCATGATACAAGATTGCCATACAATGTAATACAGTATCCAGTTACACTTTTTCTATCTACACAATCAGAAGCCCAATCTGAATCTGAATAACCTATAACAGGATTTTCACTATAAGAAACTTTATTATTACAAGTGTAAGTTAAGCCTAAGTTCTTAGTACATTGCAAATATCTTAATACTCTTTTAAGGTAAGTCCAATGCTCATCATTAGCACAGTCCTGAAATCTACTGAATAAATTAACAGAGAAACACAAATCAGGTCTAGTACCCATAACTAAATACATTAGACAACCTATGACTTCTCTATAGGGATTTTTAGTATACAAATTAACATTTTCTTCTTTAATAAGCTTAAGGCCCTTTTCTACTGGAGTTGCAATACCCTTACAATTTTCCATTCCAAATCTAACAAGTAAATTTTGAATATATGTTTTCTGACTTAATTTTATTGACATACCTGACCTTTCAATTTCAAGACCAAGAAACTTCTTCACCACACCTAGACACACCATATCAAACTGACAATTTAACTGTTTCTTAAAATTACTTATAACTTGTTTATCACTATTTATTAAAAGTATATCGTCCACATAAATAAACACATAAAACTTATCACTGTTTGTATATAAACATTGATCATACAATGCACATGTGAATCCACTGTTCAACATAAACGTATGGAATACATCATTCCAACACTTAGGACTCTGTTTCAATCCGTATATAGATTTATTCAATTTACACACTTGTTTCTCACTTTTCATATCTTCTGGTAAGTGCATATATATCTCTTCTTTAAGGACACCATGTAGGAACGCTGTCTTCACATCCATTTGCTCAATAAATAGGTTTTCTTGATTGGCAATTACTAGTAACGTCCGGAGTGTAGACATCTTTCCTACAGGAGCATATATTTCACTATATTCTGATGTTTCATAACCCTTTGCTACTAATCTAGCTTTACATATGTTTTCATTTTTCTTCTTAAATACCCATCGGCTATGTATAATATTTTTATTTTGTGGTGTTTTTACTATAGACCATGTACCATGTTTCTCGTGTGACTTTAACTCATTATTTATTGCTTCTAACCACTTCTCACTATCTGGTCTCTCCAAAGCTTCCTTTTTAGTTTTAGGTTCATCATACAAGTAGTTATTCGTCATTAATGCCATGTAGTCACATTCATATTCGCTTAAATATCTGGGTTTCTGTATAATTCTTTTGGGTCTTTCTTCTCGATTATTTGAACTACTTTCAGGTAATATTATTTCTTCACTAATATCTATATATTCTTTCTCTTGACAATTTTCTTTACTAACATCTTTTTCACAACATTCTTCTATTTGTTTTACATCTTCCAATATTATTTTCACACTATTTTCATTAAAAATTACATCTCTAGACCTCACAATCTTCTTATTCTGTGGGTCCCACAAGCGATAACCATTGTCACAATAGCCAATTAAATACATTTTCCTCGTCTTTTCATCAAATTTACTTCTGTTTTCTTTTGGTATGTGTACATAACTTTCTGACCCAAACACTTGTAGTTTATTATAGTTAGGAGTTTCGCCATACCAAATTTGAGCAGGAATAATGTTCCAACTTGTAGGCAATCTGTTTATT